AAATTGGATAAATCCAAGTGAGCTTCGCTTCACGCTGTTTCTTTTTAAATCTGCCTCCTTTGCACATTCAAGCCTAGAATTCAACATCCGGATTTGGATGTGGTTTACGAGGTCTACTAATCACTAAATGTTCTTTAGTTCATTAATAATAGCCAGCGTCTTTACGACAGCTATACAGTTTTTCGCTCAACAAACCCAAATTCCTTAAACATTTGTGGGATAATATTAAAAGTTTGCAGGAACTTGAGGTAGGTTGGTTAAAATTCCTACATGAAGTTGGGCAAAAGATGTCAGTTTCTCACCTGGAGCCTCTGTGCTAAGCAAATATTTCGTTCTCTACAATGTCATTTTTTAGCTCATGCATCGAAGGTGGGCGATGCTTCATGCGTATTGTGCATTCTTTTTTGCCTCAAATTTATGGCCACAATCGTTTTTAGGTGTGGAGACTGGTCATTGTGCGTCTTCGTGTTATCAGTTGCAAAGTTACTCTCCAATTACCACTGCTTTGAAAATCTCCGATGGTCACTGAAATCTGGATCATTTTACTTTAAGTAGAGATCCAAATATTTATTCGCATAGTCTCGCACTAAGATCCATAGAAATTAATTTCCTCTCCAGTATATGCGGAACAATATAGATTTACTCTGGTTGTAGCTTTCACCACTTTTTACAGGTGATCGGTTGCGCACTTAAAGTCAAGCCGGCTCAAAAATGTTTTATTGAGTACGACTAACTGGGATAATTGATCTACTTCTTTTACCCATACTTTGATTAGGTACTTACTCTTTCACCAACTCCATCGAGATTTCCTCAGCGGTCGCCTCATTGCCCCTCACGAAGACCTCATTCGCCTTGCTGCATTCTTCATTCAAGGTATTTCTGTTCCCTCTGCTTTCAAAACAACTATCTGAATTCTTTGCTGCTTTACTCAGCACGAAGCCGCTGATCCTGTCACACATTTGATTCCTTTTCGGTTCTCTTTCATATCAACTTGTGTGATAAATAGCGCATTTAAATTTTAAATAGTTCAAAGCCTATTTGAGGAAATCTAGTGAAGGCTCGATTAAATGTTTATCTGCTCTGCATAAAAGTAGGCAAATTAAGTTGATTTTCTGTATATATTTAACACACTTCACTTTTAAGGAGGTCTTCAAACCAATTGCCTTTTACAGTGGCTCTGGGAGATGCCTCAGAGGTGACAGCATCCACTCCCAATCCTCAATCCTCGTTCGATTCAACCAATACAGAATCCCCCACTTACCTATCCAACTACCGTGCTCTCCACAACACCTCTTCTAAAAAAAACGAGCTGGAGATTTTGGAAGAACATCGAAAACTTGAGTAAGTTTTATTATCTCATAATTTCTACTTAAAACTGTGAGAGGACAAAAGAATGTATGTAACATTTTATTTGGAACCTGTGTTTTTGCGTCAATGTGTCTGTGGATCTTATCCCATTTACCCTGCCAAGACAGCGGAAAGGCTTAGCATTGTTTCTTCATTAAACGCAATTGCATCACATGCGTTCTCTGTGGTCAAGCCATGCCTTAATACCCTTCTTTGAGTCGTTCATCACTCAAGTTAATATAACTGCGATTTCCCATTTTTAAAGCTTTTACATTTACCAATAACAGCGAAACATCCTTCCTTTATGTGTGCCTTCCTTGAATGGGGTTGTGCAGAATCTGTTGTCCAGTGGTAGTTTGGTAAGTATCACTAGAGGCTTTGAAGCATTTATGCATACGTAATCCTCCTCACTGAACTTCAGCTAAATTGGGCGAAGAGGGATAAATTTTGTTAGCATTGCCACGCAACTAGTGCTATGATGATTATCATATCCATTGATTAGGAAACTTAAATCGACACTTTCGTGTAACTGACTAAGTTGAAGATGATCGGATAGGAATAAGTTCATTTTGTTAAAAAAGTCGCTTATAATCCATAAGTATTTGCGTCAATGTTTAGTATGTTAGGGAGGTAATGAGCATTAAGTATGTTTTCATGATCATTCTGCTTAGCGGAGATGCAGAAAGGCAGGTTGACTCTGCATCTCCCATTTTTTGTCTTCTTCTCCTCCTCAATCAGAGGCGTGCTACCAAGTGAGGCTGCTGCCGAGGCAATTCGTATCGCTTTGCGGCAACTCTCCTACGGACTGGAGCCGTTTAAAGTGTTGCCGGTATGTAGTTGACTCTTGATCTCCCACCTTACTCAATGTCTTTTGCCTATTTGTCTTTCTGCAGACGAAACGGAGGAACTCCCGTCCTGTGCACATTGGGTTGACCCACGAGGGAGTTGCCGAATTTTTTGGAAGCAAGCGGGCCCATCTCTTCAAGTGGTACATATTAAATTGCAAACCTTACTACGTGTTGTGTTTGAATGTCTTTCCAGCTTTCATTCTTGTTTCTGCTGTTCCTCGCTTTTATTTTACTCTGTTTGCGCATTATTTTTTTTGGTAGACTTACTTTAAAATGTAAGAAAGTCTTCCATTTATAATAGGCGTTCTAAACTTGAGTTAAAATTAGTCACTCCTAATATACGTTTACCTCCTGTATAAAGCCAGTGCCAAATTATACATTAGACAAATTGTCATTTTAGCTACCTACAGCAGTTCTCTCTTGAAAACAAATGTGAGGTATTTGTCTGGCTGAATGACGGTCGTGTGGTCACAGTCAACCCAATTTTCGATACTCATTATTCAATGCATCGAAGCTGTAAAATTATTTTTATCGCCTTAAAATTGTGCGCAAGGTTGATTTAGTGAATGGCGATTCGTCCACACCTTAAAGCAGCAAATGAGGGAAG